GGGGGCGGCTCCGGCTCCGGAGCCGCCGCTGTCTCGCCGCTCCGCGGGGAGCGGGCGAGGAGCCAGGCACGCGTCCCGCTGCGGCTGTCGGCGCCTGTGTTGTCCCTTGGGTTTCCAGTGTCTGGATCCTCCTCCAGGGAAATAAAACATTTTCCCGTTTTACCGGGAGCCTGCCCGGCAGCACAGGCGGGGACCCCTACCCGAGGGCCGGCCGGCCGGGCATCGCCAGGCAGAAATGCCCTGGGCTAGAGGGCTCAGATCTCGCTCCCGAACAGTGGCACCGAAATCTCTGCGCGTACAGGGAAGGTTCTCCGGGGCCAAATAACATCCCTGGCGAGCGCCGCATGTCCGGGGAATGGGGACCATCGTGCCGCCTCCCAGTGCCACCGGAGTGTCCGGGCAGTGTCACGATCGGGGCGCCGCTGGTCACACAAAACACAGCATCCTGCTGCCCCTGAGAGACATTTCTTCCGGCAAAAAAAGAGAAAAAAGTTCATTTGGAACCTCGTGGCCAGTGCTGCTAACTCAGATGGTCAGGAGAGATGGCTGCAGCCAAGGAACCAAAATTATCATACATTTCACAACACACAATTTCCCAGAGACTTTATTTCATTTATGGGTTTCCCCTTCAGTCTCGGCATGGCCTCTGCATCAAAGGCACTCTCAGATTCGATGACAGTGTGTTTGGTTTGCTATCATAAAAAGAAAACAAAACAACTCACAAAAAAACAAAACAAAAAAAAAAAACCAAAAAAAAAAACCAAAAAAAAAAACCCAAAACTTTTAGTTTGAGTAACCACTGGAATTTATTTAGCCTCAGTTGTAACCACATGCCAAATACTTTCTCGTTTCTCTACTTCTTCTATATTTATCCTATATGTTAAGTCTCCACCTCTACCCCAGCACCCACAAAAATGTCTGGTTTGCTTGGCTTGTAAAAGAAAAAGATCCTTTCAAGGAAAGGATCACTTTCATGAAAGATAACACTTGGTTGTGTTAACCATATCAGCAGTGTCAGAGAAGGGAGAAAAATGGGAATTTTAAAGATGGAGAGATTTCCCGTAGCTTATGCATGTGGATTCCCAAGTCCACCCAATACCATAATTGTTAAGTGAGATGTAGAAATAGTAATAAAGGACGTCCAGGTGTAAAATGTTTAAAACAATGCTTTAATAGTCTCTACATTTCGTTAATTCCATTGGGCAGTATCATTGCCATTACATTTATAGAGCTACAGTGTTCAAGATATATAGTTTTCTACCTTCTCAATTGCCTTGTGCTGTAAATATACATGAGGAGGTGTGAGGACTTAAGGGAAAGATTTTCTCAAAGTTGACTTTTTAGACACTTGTCTAAAAAAGGGTGCAACAAATATCTGATATTAAAATACTTCTTAATCTTTAAAATAGGGAGAGACACAAAGCTCTGCAACTATCTCACACATAATGAAGATATCCCATTCTTCCATTAGTTAATACTTTTGCTGGAGGCAAAGAAGCAATGAAGATGATTTTGTTAACTGCAGTGACTTATCTCCCTGCTCAGGCAGAGCAGCCCTTCCAGTCTGAAAGATGCCCTTTGGGTTTCATGGCCCAAAACACTGATCTCGTTTCTGGATGGGTGTAGCTCCTCTGATGTCTGAAGCAGGCAGCTGCTTCATCTTTTGCACCTTTTCTGCATCTGGAAGTGACACATCCCTTAAAGAAACATTGCTCCTGTTAAAAATACACCAATGTAATTTGAGCTGAACATTTCCAAGTCGTGGGATTAGAGGTGATTCTGGTTATTAATAGTATGTAATAATCATAAAGTTCCATGGAAGGGAAGGGTCACGTTTCATACCCAGTGCCACTTCTAATCTCAAATATTTATCTGAAATTAGAAGCATCAGGAGAGAAACCACGGGATGATTACAACCTGAAGTCCATTAAAGTGCCATGAAGAAAGAGGACCTCATTTGGGAATGGCTGAAAACATCCTTATATCTGATTTCTGCCACTGTCAGGCTGGAGGATGCCTGCAAATCTACCAGGTGAGCCCCAGCCAAACAGCCTCCAAAAATTTGTCTTAAATTGCATTTTTTTGGTAATTAGAGTGAACACACTGCAGAATGACTTTCCCTAATCCCACTTTTCAGGCAGCTGATGCTTTGCATTCAATACATAGCCCTGGTACTGTCTGCATCTACATTGTCACAGGCATACAGGGAGTAACACACATTTGCTTCTTCATAAAGTAGCAAAACCTCACCTGCTTTTATTTTTTATTTCTTCTCTCAAAATGAATAGGAAGTTAGCTGTAAACATGTAGAAATACGTAGTAACAAGCTCCAAAACATGATGCAGAACAAGCTGCTTATCACTGTAACGATAATTCTGGAGTGTTTCAAGAGATGGTACCTACCAGAGCACCACCCAGCACATCACAGGTTTCAAGAGGGCTCTGGTGCTCTCCTGAAGTTCTTTACAGCCCCTGGCCTCGAGGTGAGGAGGCAGCAGTAGCATGACTGTGCAAAAGCAGGATTCTGTGGGTGAGTAGTGCTGTATGGGGTAATTTACATGCAACACAAGAGCCAAGCAATGGGCCAGGGAGCCTGGTCTGAGCCAGGGCTGCAGCATTGCTCAAATCAACAATGAGAGGTGGCTATGAAGGGGAACCATACCTGTGCCATGAGCCCTTACACAGCACCCAGGTGTAACCCTCTGGGTTCCTGGGTTTCCTTGGGAAACATCTGAAGGGCTAGTGCTGGGGCTGCCTTAGTCCTGGCAGGGTATGAGGGAATTCAGAACTGTCTCATAAACCTTGGTACAGCATAGTCCAACACACTGAACATATAGAGACACATCTCAGGACATAGTGGAACACATTATGCAGGACATTTCAATTTCAAGAAATTGAAATAAAACAATACCTCCCATAACATTATTCTCAATCATTAAAAGTCTCCTGCTTGCCTTCTATGTGCTTCACTCCTACCAATAGAAATGCCAACTCTCCCGTGCCTGGAGCAGGACTCACAATTCTTTCAGCTTTCTCTGAGCTTCTTTTTGTATGGAGGCCAATCTATTCAATGCAGGGAGGCTCTTATCAAAAGATTAAAATTCAGCAAACCTCTCGTGCTGAAGTATTATGAAATTTCCTAAAATCTGTGTCACTTTGATGGCCACTCAAGTTCAGTATGTCAAGGAGTTGAACGGTACCAGATTTAAATGTTTAGAAATCAGAAAGGCTGTTACACCAGACCAACAGACTTACATTCTTCCTCATAGCCCCTTGCTCAGCCATGAAAAGTAATGCAACACTTTCCTGAGCTTTGGAAAGATAGCAGGAGTGCTCTGAACGAACCCTCCCCTGAGTGACCTGAACCAGAGGTCAGAAAGCTGAAGAGGGCTCAGTAAAGCCAAGCCACACAAAATTTGAATTTCTTTGTTTCACTTCTCAGGACAAAGATCTGCAACTTTAACATGCATTCCTCTCTGGCATAAGATGCCTCCCTGGTGCATCATAATCAGTCACCCCTCAATGCACCAGCTGGTTACCAAGCAAGGCATTACAGAGTGCAGGAACTCAGCCCCAGAGGAAAGAAAGAGCAGGGACACCAGGGGGAATGCAAGCCTGGCAACGGGAGGCACAGCAGCTTTACTGTGGAGGATGCAGCTCAGCAGTCTTGCCCCTTTTGGTTTCGTGCTGTACCTAGTGGACTATGAGGTCCTGAAGTTGTTTATGCCACCTTTTCCAGGGATTCTGGAGCACTCTGAGGACTTACTGCTTCAGATGGCACTAACTGACCAGTTTCCAGATAAAGCTCTACTTGGGTCGACTGACGAGGTTTTAACTTGCCATAACTAACCTCAGTGATCCCTTGCTTGGACCCGGCAGGGACAGTGAGGAAGGGAGGTTTAGGCCAGCGTAGAGAAAGAGACAATGATGCAGAAATGTGCTGGGACCAGAAACTTGTCAGGGGGGGATATTGTGCACTTGAGGAGGTGCACAGTCAATTGAGTAGTTTTTCTTGGCTTTAAATATACTGTTGTCAGTATTAGCACTTAAATAAAACATTTGGGGGTAAAAGTCTGAGTGAGAACAGAGCAAGAACTGAGAGTACATAAGAGTAACTGAAAGATAAAAAAACCAACATGGCAAGCAAACCAAAACCACATGCTATGTGTGTAGGAAACAGAGCTGAGCCTACATTCAGAAAGCCCAAACACAGTAAGGTAAAAAATGTAGTTGCAGCAGCTGGACAGCCCTAATGCCAGCTTGACAAAAAAACTTCCACGTGCTATTTTAAGATTATGCTATTTTCACCTTTTCTGATCCCAGATAGATTATATTTCCCAGTAAAGACAATCTTCCTGTTCCTTTCTGGAGGGCTGGTGAGGAGTGTATTATTCAAAGCGTAGCACTTTCTGTTTTTCCTCGGTGTTTAACTCCGAGGTCTGCAACAAGGCCATTTCCAGGGAATTCCCCCTCTCCCAGAGGACCAGCACTCTGGTGACAACACGGCTTTTTCTCCAGGATTTTTTCTTGCAATTCCTGGAAACCTCCGGGCCCCGGGGGAGAGCGGCGGGCGGTAAACCTCGGGAGCTGCGGGGAGCAGCGGGGCACAGACCCCGAGCCCCGGGCAGCCGCACCGGCGGTCGGGGGCTGCAGGGGAGCCGGAACCGCAGCCTCCGGCCTGCCGTGACTCCGGCGCGTCCGGGCCCTCCACGTCCCCTCCTGTTCCCGGCAGCAGCATCCTCCCCGGTCACCCGCGGAAGCCGAGCAGACCGGACGCCGATGTCCGGGACCGATTGGCCGCTTCCCGCTGCGCTGCGCGAGGGCAGGAAGGGCTGGCGGCGGCGGGGCCCGCCGGTCCGCGAGCGCGGCGAGGCGGCGGCGGCGGCGGCAGCCGAGAGTTTCCCGCTGGACTTCACCGCCGTGGAGGGCAACATGGACAGCTTCATGGCGCAGGTCAAGAGCCTGGCGCAGTCGCTGTACCCCTGCTCGGCCCAGGCGCTGCCGCACGACCTGCGCCTGCACCTCCTGCACAACGCCTCGGTCACCTGCAACGACGGCAGCCCGGCCGGGTGAGTCTCCGCGCCGCGCCGGCCCCTCCGCCCGCGGCCCCGGCGCCCCGGCCCGACCGGCAGCACAGCGTCCTGGCCGGGTCCGGCTCCCGCTTAGGCGCCGCCCCTTGTCTGTCCCCGCAGCTACTACCTGAAGGAGTCCAAAGGCAGTCGGCGGTGGCTGCTGTTCCTGGAAGGTGAGCGCCGGCGCCCCCGACCTCCGCAACGGCGGCCACGAGCGGGGCGGCGACCCGAGGCTGCCCTCGGTGCCCCGGCCCCCGAGGGCCGCCGTCCCTCGCCCGCGAGCCCCCGGCCCTTCGGGGCGGCTGACCCCTGTCCCCTCGCCAGGAGGGTGGTACTGCTTCAACAGGGAGAACTGCGACACCCGCTACGACACCATGCGGCGGCTGATGAGCTCCCGGGAGTGGCCCGCGACCCGCGTGGGTGAGTCGCCCCCTCCACCCCGCGGGGCACCCCGAGGGACTGGGACCGGGCTGGGGCAGCGCCCTGGAAGGGGCCTGGTTGCTGCCCCGGGGTGACGCGGGCACCGGCAGGTTTTGGGTGCACAGGTACCACCGGTAATGAGTGCTGCTCTCTTCGCTCTCTTCTCGTGCTGCAGCCTCCTGGGCATCCAAATCTCCGTCACTCACACAGATCATCTAACTGAGCATATTGGAGTTTACCTGCTAGGATTTGTCTTTTGGGGAGGTACTTAAATAGGCATCACAGGCCTTTTCTGTGCTACAAGGAGCTTCTAGACGGGCTTCATCTGTAGCATGAATCAAATTCTGAATGTCAAATCTGCCTAAGGGCAAATTTAGAAATGTTCCTTCCACTTCCCTTGCCAATGTTTTTCATCATGGATGTTTGTTTTCTGTGTGGTCAGAGGTCTTGCATGAGGCTCCTACGATTCCTCTGAAATCACAGACTGTCATCTGTATGTTTTTTGTTTCTTTGTGCCCATCTGCAGGAACTGGGATCCTGTCCTCTCAGCCAGAAGAAAATCCCCACTGGTGGAATGCAAACATGGTGTAAGAAGGGACAACGGAGGGAAATAGCTTTGTACTTAAACAGCATCTCCTGCCTTTTAGGCTAGCAAGAGTGCTGCAGAGACAGGTTAAGACTAATACTTGGAAAAGGAAATTGTGTGTTTTCCCATTTGCAGCTGTTCAGCTCTCTAACACTTAGGGCTGACAAGGTTGAGAAACTCAAGTTCAATCTCCTTGGAGTTGTGGGGTAATCTAAGGAAGAAAAACTGGGGATAGCTTAGAGAACCTTCTCAAACAGCTGCAGTGGTGAATCCATCATGAGTGCTGGGCTGATAGTGTGTTACACATCTGACAATTTGAGAAGAATGTGGAGCTCCTCTCCTAGTTCAAAGAAGAGAAATGAGAGACACCAGTTTGTATATGCACCTATACAGAAGGGATGTTAATTTGGCTTCTGCAAAACAGAGACATGTGAAGTTAATTCCTGCAAAAACCTCCAGTGGTTGCAGTCAGCATTTACACTGCACTGACTAGAGTATTTTCATTTTTCATGTGAAAAACTGAAGCATAGAGAGTTTCCCTGTGACAGCCCATCCACTGTGTTGGCAGAATAGCTGAGAGCAAAGTCATGCTCCATCGTTCTGTCCACTGAGCCTTAGTGATTCAATTAGATTGATAAAATACATGTTATTTATTGATTTAACTCAGTAAAACTATTAGTGTTCAGGAGAAAATTCAAGAAAATTACGGTTGTTACTTGATGTGCAGGAAGGTAAGTTGTCAAACTGGACAGAAACTTTTCCCTTTTCCCCTTCCCAGGATTTAATTTTCTTCCAGTTAAGTGACCGCATCCTCACCCTGTTGTGCGTGTCAGAGGCACAGCAGGACTCACACAGCTCTCTCTTACAGATTCATCCCGTATTGCTCAAGTGATGTTTGGAGCGGTGCCTCTTCCAAGTCTGAGAAAAGTGAGTGTTGCTGATGGGCCGTTGCTGCCCCAGACATCACACATTAAAGGATGTGGCCAGACTTCTGTGAAACCACGCGGATGAGAAACAGGCTTTTTCTTGCTGAAGGGCAGGAAAGAATATCAAGCTACTTCCAGATAAAACATCCTGATCTCTTTAGCTCAGGCTGTTTTGACATAGTTCAGAGCCACTGCTTGAAGAGATGTTACACTGATGCAGTATGCAGGGATTAGAAGACCAAAATTCCTTTTAGATGAATCTCCAGGTTCCAGCACGTAGCAAATTAATTGCTGCAGCTGAGGGACCGTGGATTGCTGCGTGTAACTTTAGCATGGCTGACCTGAGAGGCAGAACTGTGAGTTTCATGTCAGACTTTTATCAGAAGGATATTTGGCCTTCGGCAGGAGCCATTGTGTGTCAAGCTAGAGCTGTCTGTGGGTTTCTTTGGGAAACAGCATAGTTCCTATCAATACAGGCTGCATTGCCATCGCTGTCATTCGAGCGGTGTCACAGTAAGGGACCTTCCCACTCCCTCCCAGCTCCTCGGTGCTGTTCCTATGGAGCAGTCAGTCACACAGCAGCAGCCACAGGTGCTGGTGGTGCTAAGGAAGCGGTGTCTTTGTACATGTAACATCTTGTGAAGCATTGCTTCTCTGAATTGGCTTGATGAACTGGGAAAAAGGGGGAGCAGTAAGTTGGAACTGAGATTCCAGGTGTGTGTTTGTTTCTCCAGCACCTTCCTTCTTGTTTTCCTTTTCCAAGTTTACTTATTTCTAAGCGTGGTCATAGGAAGGTACTTGTGTAATTGAGTTCACTTGGTTCTCTTTCAGGGCAGCACATTTTGTACAAGGTGGGGGAAGATCTCTTGTTAGGTGTATTTCATATAGGTGGATAAAATGAGCCTGAGTTTAGACTTTGGAAATCCCTTTGGAAAGTTCTTAAGGATTTTCAGAGAGGAAACAGAAGTCTGAGCCTGGACAGGAAGCAATTTTGTTGACACTGAGCTGTCTTCCAGATGAATATGCCTTCATGGGAGCACTGATCATACAGGAGGTTATAAAGGAGCTGGTGGGAAAAGGTCTGAGCACTGCGAAAGTGTTGCTGCTAGCAGGGAGCAGGTAGGTGTCCACAAGATTTGCTTTGTGAAGACAGGAGATTTCCACAGTAGAAAGCTGTTAAGGGAGGAGGCCCAGCAGCTCCTGAAACATTTCTTCTGGGAGTACAGTAACACTAACACAGCAAACCCTGTATCTCTAGTCAGTCTCCTCATGTCTGCACCAAGAATTCTGGTTCCTATTGGCCCATATCATAAGACACACGCCTTCTGTGAATTGATTCAGGACACCGAAATAAAAACCAAACTTGCCTCACACAGGTGCTCTGGATCATCCTGTATTGCAGAAAGCTCTGGTACACTCTGTATTACACAGGGGCGTATTAGAGAAGTTGCTAAGAGTGAATTTGTCTCACTTCGGATTATTTTAGTTTTTGAGCAGCCAACCCCCTTGGAAATGACACAGAGCACATGTATTTCCCAGGAAAGAGAGCAACAACTGGACTTTGTTTCTGAACTACCAGACTGTTACTCAACTCTGGCTTTATTTCTGAGTGTTGCAAAGCAAGGAAATAATGTGGTGTCTGCCACGTTGGTGGTGGACGGTTGGGTGTCTGTGCTGTGGGCAGGTGCAGGTGTTCATGTCACTGCTGAAGAAGGTGTGTCTACCAGCGAGGTCTGTAGCACCATGTGCGCCTCATGACTGCAGTGTTGGTGTTGCTGTTGCAGTGCTGGAGGGACAGGGGTGCTCCTGAACGTGGATCGAGTGGCAGAGCAGCTGGAGGAGATGGGTTATCAGGGGATTCAGGTTCGAGGCTTGGCAGACTCGGGATGGTTCCTGGATAACAAACAGTACCGCAGGACCGACTGCATCGATACCATAACGTGTGCTCCCACAGAGGCCATCAGGAGAGGAATCAGGTACACTCAGATGCTCTCAAGTACACTACTGTAAGAGGCTAGAATGTGGGAAAGATGTCCTCCTTGGCTGTGTTCCTTCTTTTTGATACTTAAGGAGTAGTTGTTGTCTACATCAGTGTTTTTTCAATGATTTTATTGGAAAAGACAATAAAGTCTAACTGCAAAAGAATGTGTACAGTTACAGATGCTCTAAAACGTGGTAATGGGACAGTGCTGCCAAGAAAGCTGTTCTATCAGTTGAAATTCTAGTCAGAACAGGAACTAGGATATGGAGAGGATACATTGTTAAGATTGTCCTGTGCCTTCCATTCTGTTACTGCTTTGTCTTCTAGATACTGGAATGGCATTGTTCCCGAACGCTGTAAGCTGCAGTTTAAAGAGGGAGAGGAATGGAATTGCTTTTTTGGATATAAGATTTACCCCACTCTTCGATGTAAGTACCAAAGGAGAGAGATCAAATGGATTTAGGGTTCCCTCTGTATTTTTAACTTGGAGCAATCCTTTTCCAAATTTTTTGTCTTTCTAGGCCCAGTCTTTGTTGTCCAGTGGCTCTTCGATGAGGCCCAGCTTACTGTAGACAATGTACACCTCACTGGCCAGCCTGTTCAGGAAGGGCAGTGGCTCTACATCCAGAATTTAGGTAGAGAGCTGAGAAACACCTTGAAGGATGTGACGTAAGTGTTTCATTGAGAAAAACCTGGCATATTTGTTTCTAGGGCACATTCTTATCTAGTTCCTTGTGTTCTCAGATCTCTGCTGAAAAAGGAGAGTTGTAAATTTGGTAACTGTTACATCATCTACATCAAGAATCTTGCCTTTTTCATTTTTGTGTAAAATTCCACTCTTTCCATAGTCTGGAAGGTTCAGTTCAGCAGCACTTACTTTGTCCTTCATGACATAATCCATGTTTCTGTTTTCCTTCAGTGCGAGCTTTGCTCCTGCCTGTTTGTCCCACGAGATCATCACACGCAAGTAAGTGCTTGTGCAGATCCTGCAGAGGTGGACAGGGATGCAGCCTGGGAATGCAGCTGTCCTGGCAGCCTGACCCCTCTGATGTGATCTCTATGGTTTGTCTTTTCAGTCACTGGACTGACATCCAGGTGAAGGGGACATCATTACCCCGTGCCCTGCACTGTTGGGATCGGAGCCTCCATGAGAGCAACAAAAATGGGAAGGCTCCTCTGAAAGGCTGCCCAATTCACCTGATTGACAGCTGTCCATGGCCTCACTGCAACCCCTCGTGCCCCACAATCAGGGACCAGTTCACAGGGCAGGAGATGAATGTGATCCAGTTCCTCATGCACATGGGTTTTGATGTTCAGAAGATGGCACAGCAGCAGGGCCTGGAGCCGAGTAAACTCCTGGGGATGCTCAGCAGTGGTAACTAGAGAGGTCAGAGGGGCAGAGATTGGATCAGGAGGAGAGAGACTCTCAGCCCTTCTCCCAGACTTTCTAATCTTCTTGCTAATGTTCCTGCAGGCAGATGCATGCTCATACCCATGGCACACTCACAGCTGTGCACTCACATGCTCCCACACTCTTGCACGCTTATGGTGTGTCAAGGAAAAAAAAAGAAAAAAAAAAAAAGGCAAGCAGCAATTTCTTGCTTACACTGTTTGGCTGGAACTTGTTCTCTCCCTCCAGACTCCAGGGCTAAGTTTCAGCTGGTCACATCCTCTTCCTGTGCTACACAAGGCAATCAGATACAGGGAGTAGCAAAGCCATAAATAGCAGCGATGAGAACCTTCCCCAGATCTGGGACATTTTCCCTTGCCACGAATTTCACATCATAGACTTGTTACAAGTGGTGAAAAAAGCAAGCACTGGATTTCTTCTGTCCAACTAGGAGGGAAGGAATGATTACATTACTTCCTGGAGGTTAGCATCTCATGCTGAATCACAGAATACAGACCCAGGACACGTGCTAAGGATGGACACTCTTGTACTCAATTTATTCATATTATTTTATAAAATGACTTTTTAAATACTTTTTTAAACTAAGCAAGAAATATAAAGGATATTGTAACATATTTTTTTTAAAATAACGAAGAAACCTCTTGCTACTTTGGCAACGTGGACATATTTATTTTAATATGTAAAACGCTATTTATAAGGGCTGACCAGAGAACCATACCTATGTCTTTGTAAAGTTGTATATGCTGCTCATTTGGATGGGTTATCCTGATGGTCACTTGTGCCTGGGAGAGGGCTAAGGGTGGTGTTGATATTTTGTATTAATTAGATTTCTGTGTTCCCCTTGCAGTGTGCCTTGTCATTGTTTCTCTGATGAAGAGGTTGTAATATAAGGTTTAAGTACAGAGATTTTCACCCAGCACCTGATGCTTGCAGACTTTCACAGCATTTTCAGCTTGCCTGTAATTCCCCAGGTAGTCCAGGGCATTGCACTGTGAGGCGGAGGGAGATCTGGCTTTGCTGCAGAGGCCTCTCTCCCAGGGAGGGAAATGTTTGATCAGAGCATCAGAAGCATTTGGAGCAGAAAGGGCAGAGAACACAAGACAAGCACCAACATATTTCTCTTCTAATAATTTGGAAACACACCCACCACAGCAGAGAGAAGCCCCTTTGATGCTAGTGGGAGGAGAACGAGGGAGGGATGGGGAGTGCAGGGCTGAGGTGGAGAGGAGCTGTTCCTGGGGGAGCAGTGGGTGGCTGGAGCAGAGCCTCCCCCTGCGGCGCAGGGCGTGGGGAGCGCTGCCCCAACAGCACCCTGCACGTCCCCCTGCACGGGTGCACCTGCGTGTGCTGCACTGCTGTGCATGGCCACACAGCGTGTCAGCCACAGACAGACAGTGTGGGGCTGATTTGAGAAAAATTCCCTGTGCTTTCAGACCTTGCCAAGTTAGAACAGTGGTGCTGCGTGTGAGAGCTCTTGATTTGGGTAAGTAAACCCCAAAAAATTAACCAAACTGTAGCCCTTTGGTTCCTCTTCTTGGACTTCAGGAAAAGTCTGGCAGGACCCACACACAGGTCACCACAATCAGCTGTCCTGCTGTGCATGATGGGATTAACACAGACTGAAGATAAAGAAAAATTAAAGAGAAAATGGTTGGTGCTCCCAGTGAAACTGAAAAGCAGGAAAACATCAGTGGAGTTTGCCTATGACCAGTCTGAAGATTACCGATATCCTTTATCTTTTCATGACTTGGGTATAAAAGTAGAATTGTCCCGATTACGTTTTTCATCTGTTTTCTGCTGTGCAGAAGCCAGTGACAAAAGAGTAAGACTGGAAGAATTCAGTGCCACGTGTTTGTATTCTGTGATCTTTTGGCTAGATAAGGTTCTTTATTTCTGAGGGAAAAGTGGCTGTGGTCTGTGAGGTGTGTTGCTCCACCAGTGTGATTTCTGATTTCGGGGACCTCTGCCCTCTGCCAGCCCCGACTCTGGTGCTGAGGGCTCTCCGGGGGGAGCAGCAGGAGCAGCTCGGTGTCACTGCTGTGTGCTCAGGTGAGCCATGCCCTGGAGTGTCCCCATGCCTTCTGCCAGCCCGGGCAGAGGGAAGGGGTGCACAGAAAGTGCCACAGTGCAGGAAGAGACCCACTGCCAAGAGGCCTGGAAAACTGCTAGGGGTGAAGGATCCATAGACAGTCAGGTAGGGCAGGATTTCGGGATGAAAACCTCTTCACCTGAAATTCATCAGCTCTCCTGCTGCATTTCCTGGTTATTGTGATGTTAATTGTGCAACTTCCACTCCAAATGAATGCAGGCTTTTGTACTTTTAGCACCAGAGGCCTCTCAAAGGAAAATGGAAGGGACTTGAGATGAATGAAAGAGATACTGAGGTTACAAGATGGTGGCAAAGCTGAAGGTAGGCATATTTTATCATTACAGCCAAAAATATGTACTGTTCTCATCTGAGCCATTCCAGCAGTGAAGTTTCTCTGCTTCTGTACTTGTTAAGTACTGCAGGTGAGGAGTCAGCAATGCTGCTGGGGGGTAAGGGAGGAATGTTTCTGCTATGTTGTGGTGAAAACATTCACTCATTCTCATTCTGAAATTACATCAGAAATTTTGTTTGGGGTTTTAGAGATATAATTAAGAGACTTCTGAGTACAGATGAAGTCTGGGAGGCACTGTATACCAGGAATGGCTCACTGTGAAAGCTTTGATCTCACAGGAGGGAGAGTTTGACACTATTTATTAAAATCGGTGTTCCAAAACAATGCTAAGAATATCAAAGCAAATTTTTTAAACAGTTGTATTCAGTTACTGCATTCAGAGATACAAGAAAAACTGATTTCCACAAAGTAAAAGAGAGACAGGGAAAAGTTTAAGGAAGTGTTGAGGATGGGTACTGTCAACCTTCACAGCCACAAGCTGTCACACAAAGCACAGCAGGTAAATGTATCACTGCTCCAGATCAACTGCAGCAAAGTGAGTCAGCTTTTATTCAGCCTCTGGCCTAAATCCCTTCTTTTATAGGGCTGCCTTTGGGCTTGTGCCCCCACTCAGGGGCTCTTGGGTGTGCAGGGCAGAGCTCTCGTTCCCACAGCATGGCTGGATCACAGCCCAGTGCCACAGTCAGAGCCTCCCCTCAGCACGGGGGGCTGTGTGGAGCAGCATTCCAGTGACCCCAGCGCTTCTAGAAGAACAGCGAAGGATAATCAAGAGCCTTTGATGGAGCTCGCAGCTTCAGTGTTAAATAACACCCGCTCCCAACAGCTGAGTGGGGGCAGGACTCATTCCAGAACTATTAATAAAGCCCCTATTTATACTCCAGGTTCCTGTGAACGGTGCAGCAGAAAGCTACAGCTGCAGAGCTAAAATGGAATAAATGTCAGCCTCCGAGGAAAAGTACCATCCTGTGGAAAAGGAGACAGCCAAAGGACAGCACAGGGGCAGGTTTCAGACCTGAGGAAGCAGAGAGCGAGTGGCAGCACCCTGAGCTCACAGGCAGTGGGCAGAGCCAGCCAGTCACCTCCCTGCAGCCGCAGGTCTGTGCAGAGAGCTGCCAGAGATGCAGCGTCAGAGGCGGCTCCCGCTGCTGCCGGCAGAGACCGGCGGGGTTTGAGCTGCCACTCCACCGAGCCGGGACCAGGTGTGACTCAGGGCAAAGAGTCAGAACGGACGTGTGAGGAAGCTTGGAGTGCACTGCCTGGTGGACTGGAAGGATGATGGAGAGCACGGGGGGGCCGTATCTGAACACAGCCGCGGTGACTTCCCCGGTAGGAATAGCTCGGCTGCTGCAGATGACCTTTGGGTGCACCACCTTCAGCCTGGTCGCCCACCAAGGGGGGTTCAGTGCCGCCTACGGCACCTTCTGCATGTTTGTCTGGACCTTCTGCTTCGCCATCACCGTGTTCATCATCGCCTGCGAGTTCACACACCTGCACAGCTGCCTGAGCCTCTCCTGGGGGAACTTCACCGCTGCCTTTGCTATGCTGGCCACGCTCATGTCCGTCACGGCTGCAGTGATCTACCCTCTCTACTTCGTGCAGGTGGGCTGCTACCCCATCGGCTGCGAGGTGAGGGATTTCCGCATCGCAGCCAGCGTCTTCGCCGGCCTCCTGTTTGTCACCTACGCCGCCGAGGTGTTCTTAACCAGGGCAAAACCAGGACAGGTCACCAGCTACATGGCCACCATCTCTGGGCTCTTGAAAATCGTTCAGGCCTTTGTGGCCTGCATCATCTTTGGGGCACTGGTGAATGACAGCCAGTATGGCAAATACGTGGCGACGCAGTGGTGTGTGGCTGTCTACAGCTTTTGCTTTGTGGTGACAGTGGTGGTGGTGGCCTTCAGTGTCACAGGTAAGACTGCCTTGCTGTGGTTCCCTTTTGAGCGTTCTGTGGTCATCTACACCTTTGGGGCAGTGCTGCTCTATGCGAGTGCTGCAGTCATCTGGCCAGTGTTCTGCTTTGACAGCAAGTACGGCTCCCCACGACGCCCTGGCCTCTGTGCCAAGGGCAAGTGCCCCTGGGACAGCCAGCTGGTGATTGCCATCTTCACCTATGTCAACCTGCTGCTCTATGTCTTGGACCTGGCGTACTCCCAGCGCATCCGCTTTGTCTCACACATCTGAACTGTGGGTAGGCCTCTCAGTGTGCAAAGGTGGGGCGAGGGCAGAGAGCTGCTGGGCAGGCATGCACACACCACCATCAGCCAAACTTCAAGTGAGGACTGCCTGCACTAACGAATTAGTGACCTGGAGCAGGTGGGCTGCAGCTGACGCAGAGCACAGCCCAACTGCCCCACGGTCCTGCCTCATCTGCCCGGTGCCAGCGCGAAGGAATGGCACAGCTCCACCTGCATCTGCAGGCAGCAGGAGGGCTTGTAGCCACAGCACTGGGGCTGCAGGCTACCAGGTTACTGAGCCAAACATTAGGAAAGACATCAAGGATTTTGAAACTGTTAACCAGTGCTTAAGAGTAACCAAGTGACTACTCAGGAAGTGGAAAAGTTAAAAGCTGCATGAAGGAACACCAGATCAGGAGATGAAAATCAATCCCTTGGAGTCTGGGTTAGTTTGGACTGTGTTGGAAGACGTGGAATGCCTGCAAGTGTGGGCAGTTCCAGTCTGAGTGTTTCTGAGAAGAGCATCATAGCCATAACAGTATTTTGAAGGTTGCCCATGTTTTCCCTTCCTCTCTTTTGCTGTCTAGCACAGAAAAGGAATATCCTCAAGCGCACACCTTGGAGGAGCTTATTTAATTTAACACTCCTATTTAGCAAACACTGAGTCACTACAGAAATGAAAATTTATAAATTCGGGTTCTACTGCTGAGAATCAGGTTGCAGAGCAGAGCCAGCCTGCAAAGTAACTGTATGTGACTGCCATCCTCACTTGAGCAGAGCAGAAAATACCTTGGCATGCGCTCTGTCTTGATTCACAGGCCACCATTTCCTCACACTGGGGTCAAGGGGTTTTTTTCTGGAGGCTTGAAGATAAATTCTGGGGGCATGGGAAAGGGGAGGCATGGTCTCACAGAGCTGCACCAGAGACCAAACCATGCAGGGAAGGGGCGCGGGCAGGATGGGACACGACAGAACTTGTACATGGTACCCCGGAGCAGCTCAGGATTCCTGAGTGCTCTGCATCACTGAGGAGCCAAATCTCCCAGACCCATCCCTGACAAAAACACCCACTTTAAAGTTCCACACTTCTCAGCTCAGATTTCAGGCCCCATAGGAATGTTCACTTGTTGCAGGGAGAAGCCAGAGTGTCCAAGTGCTTGTGCAGCACATGCAGACTTGAGTGCTTTGATTAAAATCTCCAGTAGCTGCCTGTCAGAAGCAAGATTTATTTTTTAACCAAAACAAAATAAAGCTGAATGGCAGATGTATGCTTACATCTCCTGAGATCTGTGTGCTGTCATCCTCCTCTCCACACTCATTGCAGCAGACATGGCCCCTTCTGCATGAAGGCAGAGCTCACTTTATTCTGGGGTACAAAGCTTGAACACAGACCTGAAAAAGAACAGACACAACACAGCAAGACCTCTGAGGAGATTCTTTGCAGCAGAATGACTCAGGAATAAGGAAGCAAAGTTACTTTTCATCAGTGCTTTGTGTGGGGTTTGAAAACCAAAGGGAAAACTTGTTGGGACAGATGATGTTGAATAATTCTGAGCAAGGACCAGCCCTTAGCAGTGAGAAGCATCAGCCAGGAAATGGGACTAGAATCAGGATCCAGCACAGAGGAACAGCCTGCTAAGGGGGTTTTCTCTTCTGTGAGCCCCAGTGAAGGGCAGGAAATCTGGAAGATGTGGTCCAAGAGGAGGCTGGCAGGGCAAGACCCAAGGCTATCTGCTATAGATATAAACCAGGAGCTTTATCTCTTGCCACCCAAACAAATTATGGGTTGTACAAGAACAAAATGCTAACTTGGGAAAGGAAATCCACTTGTGTTGGAGGAGTCAATTTACAAGAGCCACTGTATACAAAGGGTCCTTTGAGCACTTGTGATGTATTCCTGTTCAACCCATCAATATGGACAAATTAAGCTGTGTATCACTTGAAAATTACTTTTTTGTTTGCTTGGTTTTGGGTTTTTGGTTTTGTTTTTTTTTGGTTGTTGTTGTTATTACAGATCACTAAAAACCAAACAGGTGCCTGTGAAGGACCATGGCTTTTGTTATAAAATCCAACCCACTGAGCTCAGGAACCATGCTTGAGGAGAGCCCCATCCTGCGGGCTCTGGGGGGGCTCTGGGGGTCAGCAGAGGCAAGAGCCCAGGCAGGGGGTGCTCGTCCTGGGGATGGCACTTCCAGTCCTCAGGCAGCAGCAGCTGCTGGAAAGCTCCTTGGCTGACAGCATGGGGCTGAGCCTGGCACTGCTGGCTTCCCACTGGGAAGATTTTGCACCAAGTAGGAGCAAGAGCAGAAATATGGTAAAATCTGACAATGCCATGGGTTGATGCAACTTACACCCAGCCAGGGTCAAAGGGCCAGAGAGAAACTGGCACTTGGGAAAGAATGAGGGCAAAATGGAGTGTCTTCACAATAAGGGGAAAGAGAATTTAACGTGGAAATCATGATCCCACTGACTAGAGGAGTGGAAACACAAGTCATTGCCAAGAACAGTGTGTTCAGATTTAGCTTTCTCATCTGCCAGCCAAAGACTGAGCAAAAAATGTGAACATGGTCAAAATGGCAAAAAAAGATTGTGTGGACAACAATCCTCTCTTTTAGCAGAAAAAAAATATAATGAAAAAAAAATATCAAAACCTCATGCTTCAGTGGTTAAAACATTCCCCAACCATTGGAAACTATGAGATTGCCCAATCCAGAACAGAGAACATCTGATATCTACTCATCAGGATTTACCAACCAGCTCTGCCATGATTCAGTTCTCCGAACCCCCTTCATTTCCAGAGTGCATCTCCCCCCTTAATTAACAGATGATGATCAAGGAGCTCCCCATGAACCAGGCTGCCCCAGTCACCAACCATTCCCAACCTCTTTTGGTGAACTGCTGTTAGGATTTATGTGTGTTCATTAATTATGGACTTGTGGCTGCAGCCAATCTAGACAGCACCCAGAGGATTCCAGCATGGATAGACTAAAATCAGAATTGTTAATGGGTTTGGTTTGGGTTTTTCTCTTCTTTTTTGGAAGGCCAGGGTTCAGTATCCATGAAAGATCATAATTTAAGAACATTTATCAAGAGGGAAAACAGTGAGCTTATTTCTGTCAATAAAGAAGCAAGAAAAAAAAAATAAAACCAGAAAACAGTGAGCTAAGATGATATTTAGGGAAAAAAAATCACTGCCTGCTGCCTGAGTTTTACAGGAACATTTCATGCAGGCCCGGCCCGCGGGGCTCGGGGCAGCGGGGCCCGGCCCCGCTGCCCGCCGATTGGCTGCGCGCCCCCGTCCCGCCGCGCGGCCTCGCCTCCGTGCGCGCGCGGCCACGTGTGCGGCGGCGCGGAGATGAGCGTGGGGTTCATCGGCGCGGGGCAGCTCGCCTTCGCCCTGGCCCGCGGCTTCACCGCGGCAGGTGGGCGCGGGGCGGCTCGCCCTGGCTCCATGGGGGCGGGTGGGCACGGGGCGGGGGGTGCGGTCCCTCGGGCTGACGCGCGGCGTCGTTCGCAGGGGTCCTGGCTGCGCACAAGATCACGGCGAGCTCCCCGGACACTGATCTGCCCACCGTCAGCGGGCTGCGGGTGAGTGCGGCCGGGTAGCGGGGACCGGCTGGCGGCGCTCCCCTCTCGGGCCATCCCGGGGCTGAGCGGTCCCGTTTCTCCCCGAACCGGTGCAGAAAATGGGAGTGAACTTCACGGTGAGCAACAAGGACACGGTGAAGAGCAGCGATGTCCTCTTCCTGGCCGTGAAGCCGCCCATCATCCCCTTCATCCTGGAGGAGGTGGGCCCCGACATCGAGCCCCGGCACATCGTGGTGTCCTGCGCGGCCGGCGTCACCATCAGCTCCATCGAGAAGGTGAGACGGGCCCGGGCCGCGCACGGCCGGGCTGGTTCCGCTCCTCTGACCCCCAGGAGCCCATGCCACGGACTTGCGCTGCTCGTGCTGCTCAGGACTAAGGCCACACAGCAGCAACCAACCTGCTTTTGGTCACCTTTGTCTCTCTTCATCGGCAAATGCTGTTAGAGGTTTTATCCAGCTCTTCTCTCACATGAAGTGCTGTCCAGTCATGTTTGTTTTAACAGCAGTGGGTCATCTCCCCTGAATTTCTGCAGATTTTATGCCAAGTGTCTGCAGGAGCTGTTTTGGAGATCTGGGGGTTGATGTGGGACTGAGGCCTTTGGGATACTGATTCCAACCTGGCTTTGCCCAGCTCCTGCTTTGCTGGTACTGACTAAGGCTTCACATTCAGGGAAGGGCTGCTGTGGCTCAATGCAGGACATTTGAGATACACAGGTCTCTCTTTTCCTTCTGCTTGTGTTGTTCTTGCCCCTGGGGGGGGTCCTTTCCTGGACAGCCCATTGATGAAAAATATGCACTAAAGCTCATTTTTCTCCCTTCTTTCTTTCTTTCTTACTTTCTATCTTCAATGATTTTCTGCCCTAAGAAACTCTCTACCTTCTGCCCCACACCAAAAGTGATCAGGTGCATGACCAACACCCCTGTGATAGTCCGGGAAGGTGCTACAGTCTATGCCACTGGAACCCATGCGGATGTGGAAGATGGGAAGCTTTTGGAACAGCTGATGGCCAGCGTGGGCTTCTGCACCGAGGTGGAGGAGGACCTCATCGATGCTGTAACGGGGCTCAGTGGCAGTGGCCCTGCGTATGTATGTGCTGTTTACTCAGCTAGTGCCATCTTAGGGAGAGCACTTGGCTTTGCCTGCCATGGTCTGTGCAACTTCAGCTTGACATTTTTTTTTCCCCACCACCCACATTTGCAATGGGACATGTATCACAGGTGTTCAGTTTGGGACAACAGGAGAAATTTTTTAAGAGTCAGATGAGTCTGAAGTCCATAGCCAGTGTGCAGTTGTCCATGTTGCAAAACTTGGGCCTGTAGTTTGCATGATCAGAAGCTGAATTTCTCCCATTCCCCCACTCCTGAGCTGGCACTAGTGGGAGTGACACCTGGCACGGCATCCATGAAGGGAAGGGGGTAGGCTTTTGTCCAGTCTGTGAGTGATGAGAGTCACAGAACAGTCCTGAAGCTCTGGATTCTCTCTTCCCTAAGACTTACCAGTCCTGGAGCAGTCTTTCAGTCACCTTTTCCTGTCTGGTCTCAGGCGTTCACTGCCCTGGACGCTCTCGCAGATGGAGGAGTGAAGATGGGCCTTCCCCGCAGGCTGGCAGTTCGGCTGGGAGCACAGGCTTTGCTGGTCAGTGTTGCCTCTGCATAACACATCTGAGTCTGCCTGCTCTTTGCAGAGCAATCCACACATCACGCTTTGAGATGGTCTTGGTGCTGTGGCAGAACCTGCTTTAAAGAATGTGTTTGGTTTGAATGCACACAGGTTCCTGGTGAGGGGCTGTAGGAAGTGTCCGCAGCAATCTGCTGGTGCTGGTGGTGGTGTGGGAGCTGGGGCCTGGGAAACTCTGCTCCTTTGCAGGCTTCATCAGCTCTGAAAAGTGTTTTGGCAGCCTGCAGGAGCCCAGGTGTGCCCATTGTGAGTGCCGGTGCTGCTCTGTGCAGTGGAGAACAGGAGTGTGTGAAGTGGCTCTGGCAGGTGTTTTCCTTGCTACAGGGTGCTGCCAAAATGCTGTTAGAATCTGAGCAGCATCCGGGTCAGCTGAAGGACAACGTCTGCTCGCCCGGGGGAGCCACGATCCATGCCCTGCACTTCCTGGAGAGTGGTGGCTTTCGCTCGCTCCTCATCAATGCTGTGGAGGCTTCCTGTATCCGGACAAGGTGGGTAACTCGGAACTAAAGAGCTTGCAAGACTTGCCCCCCGCCCCCCACTCCCCATCTTATTTTTTCTGTCTTCCTCTCCCACTACCCCATGGTAGGGAGCTGCAGCATTTGGCAGACCAAGAGGAGATTTCCCCGGCAGCCATAAAGAAAACGCTGCTGGACAAGGTGAAGCTGGAGTCTCCTTCTCTGTCTGTGGCATCTGCTAGCAAAGTCAGTCTGTTCACCAGCAAGAGCAAGAAGAACTGACCAGGCTGCTGTACTGTGGCAGTGCTGAATGTCAGTGTCCTGGTTGCAGCCAGGACAGGGTTAATCTTTGCAGTAGCCAGGAATGGCGTGGCCAGGACCCTGGTTATTTTATACATCATACACATGGGCAGAGGGGAGGGCAGGGTTTGCAGCAGGGGAGAGGGGCTGAAGAGGGGTGGGGAGAAGGGGTCCCTCTGGCTGGGCGCATGAAGTGATCAGTGGGAGTAGCATCATGTTAGGCGTGGTAAGCAATCGTGTGTGAATCCTTCACCTCTTCTACACTCTCCTTGTGTTGCTGTTATTATTGGTTTTCTTATCTCATTACTGCTTCTAGTAAATTGTTCTTGTAGCAAACCATGATCTCTACCTTTTGTGCCTCCAGTTCTCCTCTCCAGCCCACCACAGAGGGAGAGGGACAAGAGGGCACTGAGTGAGCAGCATGTGGTTTTGAATATTTCAGTGGGAATGATAATACAGGGAATGCCATTCCTAAGCCACAACTGTTAGTGTTCTCTGTGTTATTTCTCTTTTGTCCAAGGAAAAATGCTCACTCAGCATGTTGGTGTCCCCTGTACCAGGCTTGTGGCTTGCAGCAGCTGTAGCAGAGGGTTTTTAACCTGTAGTGGGGCTGGTGAGCTGTCCCTGGCACTGGTGTTTTCTTGGGCAGGGGTAATACTTTCATCAGAGCTTTGTCAAGGAAATCATTTGTCCAGAAGCCTTGGGTACTTTGAGTACTCAAACAGTGTTTGGGTGTCCCATGCAGAAGTTTTTTATAATAGAATTTTACAAAGATGTTTCAGAGGTTTCATCCTCTCTGGCCCCATCTTGCACGTGCTGTCAGAGCTTATGTCCTGTCACTGCTGTTACTAGCTGGAGCAGATGCTGCCACACAAACACTGTGCTGCATGGTGCACCAGGGGCTGGGCCCAGAATCGCCTCTTGGAATGGACCAAGTGCCTCTGCCCAGTCTCCCACCCCACAAAGAGACATGTGGTGTGAACATCAGACCGTGCTCCCCTCCTCTCTGCTCAGTCTGGTTTGGGGGACCGTGACCTCACTCCCCCTCCTTTACTGCCGGCCTTGCTTGTGTGGTTTGGCAGGTGGAGGCGTAGTGAGTTTTTACATTTCCTGCTGTCTCTGAGGTGCTGGTGATGGTAAAGTGTTTTTAGTATTAGGCTTTTGGCTGCCAACAAGGTATGACCCTATAGGTGTGACAGATGGTCACGCCTCTTCCCTCTTTACATAAAAACTGCATCTCTGATGAGAGCTGTGGCTAATCCCAACTGTTTTGACTGGGGGTATCCTTTGCTGCTGGTAGTGACCACTAGGTCAGGAGTCCTTGGGTGTCGTGTTCCTCCCAGGATCTGTAATACCTGTGCAGACAGCTGGAAGTCAGATGGATGAAATGCTGCCTGATGCAAAATGCGAGGAAGTGTTGTGGAAAGAGTTTCCAGTTGGCTGAAAAAGTGGGATGCAGAATGAATGCCTGAGCTTGAGCGCCTCTGCAGGGAGACGGGGGAGGCCCCTGAGTACTTCCAGAGACAGAGCTGTAGATGAACTTTCTAGGTGGTTACAGACCTGTAAGTGAGCCGGCCACCACAGCAGATGGAAACACAGCCCGTCAGGGGCTACAAGAGCCCTGCACGGCCTGCGGTCACATCCCGTGTGCTCGGAGCAGAGAGCAGCGGGGCTGCTGCAGGATCCGGGCCCGCCGAGCCCCCGCTGCTCCCGCGGGCACGAATTCCCCCTAACCCCTCCTGTCCGACCGCTGCACCGTCCGCTTGCCCCGAGCCCCTCGGCACGCTCATCCCGTCCTCCCTGCTGTGCCTGTGGCGCGGCAGCAAACAGCAGGCGCCGGTGAGCGCCGTGCGCCTGCGGTCCGGCGGAAGGGCTGGAGCGCACCCGGAGCGAGCCCGGCGGGACGCGGGAAAGCCGCGGGCCAGAGCAGAGCAGCGGCCCCGGCCCCGCCGCCGCGGGCAGGGCTGGCGGCTCCGAGGGACCGCGGCCGGAGCCCGCGCGGAGCCGCCGGAGCCAAGGGCCCCGCCGCCGCGGGCGGAGGGACTGCGCGCTCTGGAACGCGCGATGTGCAACGGGCACACCGGCAGGAGGCTGGCGGCTGCTCCAGAGATGGCGGGAGCTGATCCGCGGCCGGCCCAGTACTTGGGTGGAGCGGCAGCGCTGGCCCCGGGACGCGCGGAGCGGAGCGGGCCGGGCCGGGCCGGGCGCTGCCCCGCTCCCCGGAGCGCGGCCCCCTTAAGGCCCGGGGCGGTTTCGCCGGGCGCTTCATGAATGGAGCCACGTGACCCAAATATCACGTGACGTGTCCGTGAGCGGCGGCGGCGGCGGCGGCGCTTGTGAGTCCCGGTCCCTCCCAGCGCGGCCTCCCCGCCCCGCCCGGCCCGGCCCCCTGCCCGCCGCGCCCGCCGCCCGGCCCCGCCCGCAGGCATCGCGGGCGCAGCCGGCCCCTCCCTCCCGCGGCTGCCGAATGCCCCGATCATGTTGCAGACCGGCTGCCCTCAGGCCGAGCCTGACCCCTCAGCCCCGCCGCTCCGCCGGTACGGCTGCGAGCTGGCCCCGGCGGGGCCTCGGCTCCCCCCTCCCGCCGGGCGGCCGCCCCGCCGCGGTGTTCGCCGTGGTCTGTCGTTCTTCTCCCGAGGACGGGAGGGCCGGGAGCGTGAGGAGCCAGCGGGGCGGCTCGCCCGGGTCCCAGAGCAGAGGCGGGCAGGACAGCCCCGCTGCCCGCAGTCGGTACCTGATGCTCCGGCTCCTCAGTAGCTGCAGCCGTGCCGGTGGCGGTGCTGCTCCGCCGGGGCTGCTCCGTGCTGGGCGCTGCGGTGTCCCCGAGTGGAGCGGGCTCCCGCGGGGCTGCGGTGTCTGAGCGGCTCCGGGGGCTCCGTGCTGTGCACGGCACGGCACGTCTCCGGCCGTCCGGGATATGTGAGCTGTGTGATCGGAGGAGGGCACTGCCAGGGGTGGGAGGGAGCCTCTCAGAGCTGGCCCTTAGCTTTAGCAGTGTGAGCAGAGCTAAAAGCAGCTGGGTGGGCAGATTCCTTGAGGAAAAAATCGCTGTGGAAGTGCTCAGGGTTGGGTGACCTCACCAGGGGACCCCCAGGGTGGGGAACACAGAAGGCACTGTCTTGGCTACACACGTAATTTGGGGAGTCATTGGATGAGACTGTGTGAGCCAATTTGCCAGCAAGCAAATAAGCAGAATATGAAATCCATGCTGGGAGAGAGTGTTTCTGTGCAGTGTGCCCTGTCCCTGCTGACAGACCACGGTCCTGTGCCTGCCGGAGCCCATGGGGGAGCACAGCCCTCGCTCTGCCCCTGGAGCAGGCGATGTCACCGTGTTTACACGGGGCTGGTGGCAGGTTCTGCACCAGGAGCGTGGAGAGGGGTCCGTGTTGGATCGTGCGTGGTGCTGTCAGTTCCCCGTGTGCTGCCGCTGAGCTGAGGGGAGAATTGGCTGTGCTTGTGCTGAGTTTAGGCCTTTTGAGCTCTGGGGAAATGTGTCGAGGCTGCAGTTTCTTCATTGCAGCCATAGTGTTTGGCACTTTTCAGTGTGATCTTTCTTCAGGAAGCTATCAAAAGCTGAACCATCAGCAGTCTGGGGAGTAAGGCGAAGTTTGGTCTCTGCTATGTCACCCGTTCTCTGGGTGTCCTTTTGGTGAGCCCAGGTTAAAACAGGACCCTGCAAACTCTTGGGGTTGCTCTTTCATTCTGCTGACTGCCTTACATGTTGCAGCACCTTGGAGAGGTGGGATCACCCGGTTTTTGGGGACAATCCTGTTGCAGCTCTGCTGGCTGTTGTGAAAGGCTCCTGCCTGAAAGGGTATTGTGTTAGAGTGTGCAGAGGCAGGAATGAGTAGCTGCCTCTGCTGTGTCCAGCTCTGCCAGTGCCAGCCGTTCCCCAGCCTGCTGAGGAGCACTCTTCCCAAGGCCCTGCCTGAAGCAGCATGCATGTGCCCTGTTTGTTTCATTTTGGCTCTGCTGTAATGAAGACAGCCTGTGTGCTTGCCAGGCAGCTGTAAATTCCTTAATGCCACAGGGCAAGCAAATTCCTGTGGTCTCACTGACCATACCTGCCCTTGACTCCTTCCACTTGCAAGAGGAGGGGCACAGAAGTGCTGCAGGGGCAGGCATGTTGGTCTCTCCAGCTATTCCCTTTCCTCTCCCCTTTTCCCAGCAGACATGTTGTTTACCAGGTAGGAACAGAAGGAATAAACAGCACTCTGGGAAGGAGGGAAGAATTGATTTTGTGCAGCAGTTGCTTGTATGCTGCCTGTCCTGTCTCACTGCAGCTGCCTTCCTTGGGCAGCAAATGACCGTGGCTATGCCAGTGTGGCTGAGTGTAGCAGACATCTTGTTGGAAGGAGCATTGTCCTCTAGGTATATATAAATAGCCTGGCTCCTGGCAGCCTGCAGGCTTCAGGAATATCTCTGATGGTGTTCTGGGGACTGCTAGTCCTGTTCACCTCCCGTAGGTCACAGATGCACTGGAGGGAGCCCGTGCCACGGCTGCTGAAAGAGCACTAAGTCACATTTACTGATGTGTGCATTTGGTTCTGGTCTGTAACTGGACATCAGTCCTGCTGGGGGTAAGGCAGGGGCAGACTAAATTGTTGTTTGACACCTGCGAGATGAAAGGGGCAGAGGCACCTGTAGGCTGCACAGGAATCCTGGCCAGGACTGAGAGAGGAATGCACTTTGGGCTGTTTGAGGCACAGCCATGTCTGTCAGTAGTGGGTCAATTCCTTGGGCAGTGAAGTAGCAGTCTGAACTGAAAAGCCTGAGGGGAGGAGGTATGTGGGTAAAGGAGCCTGGGTATAAATCTCTGTAAAGCAGGCCTGGGAATTGCTCTTACCATTTCTGAAGTCTTGTCTTCCATGGCAGGGAAGGAGTCTGCTCTGCTCTGTTTTTCAGCACCTCTAATCTTTGTTTGCTTGTGAGCACACCTTGGCTCTTAAGATAAGGAGGAAGAAGGTGTTTCTGGTCCCTGGCATGCCAGGGATTGACAGGTACTTTCTCATGGAAAAGACCTACAACTGGGGTCAGTTTTGCATGACTGAGAGAGCTGAAGGCTGCTGAGACATCAGCCCAAATTTGTGATGGAATTCCAGTGTGTCCAAGGCTTTCCCTGTACCCCTTGCTCAGGATTATATCTTATTGAACCATCTTGGCAGCATCTGGAGTCTGGTAGGACCAGGGAGCTCCTGGGCTGTGCTTGGGCACCTGTTGGAAGGGCGTGTTTGGGAACCTGCCCTGCTTGGGAGTGACAAGGACGAGGCTGGCAGCGAGTGGTGCAGAGTGCCAGCCTGCTGAGTCAGCATGACTGGCCTGGAGCAGCCACGCTC